ACACGCCCCCTTAGATTCATTTGCTGGAACTTGAAGGGAGCTATAAATAATGAGATACAATCTATAGTTCAAAAATCATACTTGGGAACTAACTCAATCTTCCTTCAGGATGTAAAACCATAGGATGTAAATGCGGTGTAAGAAGAAACTTAGACCTGATGGAACAATAGATAAATATAAAGCCAGATATAGTAGCTAAAAGGATATACCCAAAAGTCTGGTATTGATTATTTTGATGTCTATTCTCCAGTAGCTAGGATTACTACCATTAGAGTCCTCATAGGCTCTAGCATCCATTCACAAATTAATAATACATCAAATGGATGTTAAAACTGCATTTTTAAATGGAGACTTAGATGAAGAAATTTATATGGATCAACCTGAGGGATTTATAGCTTTTGACAAGAAAAGAAAGTATGCAAGCTTATTAGATCACTATATGTCTCAAACAAGCCCAAAACAATGCATATGAAATTTGATGAATTATACTATCTTATTGGATTTGTAATTAATCAAACAGATGAGTGTGTATACCATAAAATAGATAAAAACAACAAAATTGTGATATTATGCTATATGTTGATGACATTCTTATTTTTGGTTCTGACATACAAATCATAAATGATATCAAACACTTTTTATCACAAAATTTTACATGAAAGATTTAGCGTCAAGCCTGACCTAATTCTTAATACTAAAATCATGAAAAATGAGAATGGATATATGCTATCACAATCACATTACATAGAAAAAATCCTCAAGAATTTTTATGATCCAAACTGTCAACCTGTTTTCCACTCCATATGATCCTAATGTAACATCTAAAGAAAAATACAGGTCATCCTCAATTACAAAAGAAATATGCACAAATAATTGGATCATTAGGATTCCTAACAAACTACACCAGACCTGACATTGCTTATGCAGTAAATTAGACTTAGTAGATATACATCAATCCTGATAAGAGTCACTGGATGCTTTAGAAAGAATTTTGAGGGTACCTAAAAGGAACTATAATTATGGTTTACACTATAAAGGTTATCCATCTGTACTAGAAGGTTATTCAGATGCAAATTGGATTAGTGACTCAGTAGATATAAAATCCACCACAGGATTTGTGTTCCTTTTGGAGGAGGAGCTGTGTCCTGGAAATCTACTAAACAAACTGTAATGGCTAGAAGTACAATGGAATCAGAAATGATAGCTCTTGATACTACTAGTATAGAAGCTGAATGGTTGAAAGATTTACCTAACTGAAATTCCACTAATGCAAAAACCTTACCAGCCATTTCTATTCATGTGATTGCAGGTCAGCGATTGACAAATGCCATCAAGAGAATGCAAATGTGAAGATGAATCGACATTTGAAAGTGCGCCAATAAATCCTTAAGATATAGATGAAAAACCATATATAGCCTTAGATTTTGTAAGATCAGAGAAAAATCTTTCAGATCACTTAACTAAAGGCTACTCTAGGCCAGTGGTCCTAATATCATCGAGGGGGATGCGGGGTTAGCCCATAAGAAAAATCACTGCAGTGGCAACCACCTCGCCAGAGGTTCAATGGGTAGGAAACAAACTGAATGAGTGATTATATGTTAGGAGCACTGAATTCATTTGCTCCCATCCCTAGGTGATCAGTGCTCATAAAAAGCAAGTGAAAGGGTTGAGTCTAATCTTAATGAATCCAAGACCCATAGGCAGGATGCTTACTTGCTCGCGCTCCTTATTAGGATTCACCTATATGTGTGTAGTTGTGAGGCCGCCGACTATGGGATCAGGGCTGCTCGCCTAGTACACACATGAAAGATACCTGCGCAAGGCGATAATAGCGAACCCGTTTAGAATTCTTCAAAACTGTACTATGTGTGCTTTCTGTAGAAATCCGATAAATGAGACTGGTTCAGAGCGAAGTCCACCAAGCTCTCACGGATCTATACAACTGTCACTAAGTGAAGGTTCAAACCGAAAGGTACCTCCACCTATTACATAGTATAAGGGAACCAGAGCAATCTTATTTATTTTAAGTTTTTATTTTATTCTTATTTCTGAGCTATTTTCAAGTTTTAAGTTAGTGGGGGATTGTTGGAGTTATAACTTAAAAACTTGGGTTTGTAGAGGAAAACTTTAGTCCCACATGGAAAAGAGATGGAAGATAGGCCTCTTTATAAGCCTTCCCTTTCTCTCCTATGCCTAGAAGAAAACAAAGGTTATGCTC